AATAGTAATAGAACCCAAAAAAAAAAAAAAAACAATTAATGTAACTGAGATTATCACAACAACAAATTATTTGCTGAAATACTGTCAATAAAACGACTGAAATGTTGTCACTGAGCAACTAACCTGACTACAGTACTGCCACTATATAAATAATCTGACTGAAATATTGTCACAATAAAATTAAATCTGACTGAATATGACTGAAATATTGTTATTTAAAACAAAAATCTGACAAAAAAATTGTCAGTTTAAAAATATTCTGACGGAAATATTGTCACAGTAAAATATAATCTGAACTAAAATAATGTCACTATAAAACAAAAATTACTGAAATATTATCACCACAAAAAATAATCTGACTGAAATACTGTCACAACCAATTATAATCTGACTGAAATATTCTTCTTTGTTATTTTTCTTCTTTTCTCGACTCCTAGAATGCCTAGCAACATCATGGGAGGAAGAGATATCTAGAACGGGCCCTTCTGTTCACTTTGTATATTGTACTTTTCAGTGTCTGATATTTCTGCGGTCTATATTCTGTGTGGAAATCTTATCACTATGAAATGTGGTATAACTGACACTCTGTCACTATAAAATATAACATGACTGAAATATTATCAATACATAATTATTATAATGTGACTGAAATACTGTTACAACTGAAAATATTATCTGACTGAAATATCATAACTACAAAATCTAAAGTGACTGAAATATCATCACTTCAATATATAATGTGACTGAAATATTATCATCATAAAATATAATGTAAATGAAATATTACCACTGTAAAATATAAGCAGACTGATCTATTATCACTACAAAACGTGACTGAAATATTGTCACTGCAAAATAAAATTTGACTTAAATATTATCAATAAAAATATAATCTGAGTTAAATTTCATCACTAAACAAACTAATGTTTCAGACATTGAAAGCATAAGTTGAAATATTGTCACTACACAAAATAATGTTTCAGACATTGAAAGCTTAAGCTGAAATATTGTCACTAAACAAAATAATGTTTCAGACACTGAAAGCTAAAGTCGTGAGCTCACTAAATGTTTACCTAGCAAGTAACAGTCCTGGGCTCGAGTCCCACGGAGGTGGAGATTTATTTACATGATCGTATATATCTCTGATGCAGATACTGAGGTAGATTCACTGGAACTAAATGCTAAGAACCATGTTGCGTGGAGGGGAATAACTAAGGGAATAGTAATGAAGGGAAAAAAAATGACTGCAGACAGATTGAGAGCTGAGCATCTGCGAAGAAGCATACTAAATACATGCAACACTCTCTCACACAGAATTTCTTGATGTTGTCCTCCCACTTGTATCATTATCTACCTATTGCTCTCTTACCTTAAATTTTCCCTCCAGTATGGTTTTTTAAAAAGAATGGTATGCCTCTAATGTGGCTGAAATATCTGTCTCTGGTAAATTTTCTTTAAGCAACTCTATTTTCATTCCCAGTCTCAAGCAAATTTAATTCATGTACATATAATATGCAATTTCCTAAAATGCTAATTTTCAAATGGCTAGAAACCACACTCTATCTGTGAAAACAAGATATTTTTGCTGTCTGTCAAATGGCCATCAGATCCTGTCACGCACCCTTTTGTTTGCTTGTCTCAAAAATGTTTCCAGTCAAGAGGAAGCTGGTGCAAGCAGATTTCATTATCTGACACTATTGGATGGACACTGTAAAACTTGTACAGTCTTCTTTTTTCACAACATAATATTTTTATGGGATAATCTAAAATTATTATCCTTCACTACGCCTATGGTCAGACACACTCACTCAGTAGGGTGGGAGGGGGAGGAGGTAGAGAAGTGCAAAATTATATTTTAATATTTTTTTTCTTTCTGCATTCGTACACATTTTTGTGGTCCGCTATTTTGGGAGCTCAAGAGCCAGATTGTATCATCATTTTACTCCAGCTTCATGGGCCTGTAAAAACTGCTCAGCAAGACAGTTTGGCCAGCTGGCCATATTTGCCAACCCCTGCATTAAACTCACAGAGACAGTCTTTATGCAGACATCTGCATGTGGGTTTTGGCTTTAGGTGTCATATGTTCATTATCCTCTAAGTCACATCTGAGGGATTACATCTGAACCACTATTTCAACAGCAACAGTAAAATATAAAAAGATCATGGAAGCTAAAAAATAACAGTGTGGTAGACATCAGGAATGAGGAAGATAAGAAAATATCAGAAACAAGAATTTGAGTTCAACACTTCTTAGACACATGCTATCAATCCAGAAACTAAGTCTCACCAGGAGCTATCTGTCAAGAAAACAAACAACAGCACAGAAACAATAGCAAAACACAAATGATGTAATGGAGTAAATTAAGCAAGAACATAAATGGCTTAAATGATCTGAAGATGTCAAAAAGTGTCATCGCATTTTCTCAAAGAGGCAGCAGATGTGATGGAGTAAAATACGATACTAGTATCAATACCATTTGACATATTAAAAATTCTGATAATCTGTGAATTATCAGCCTTTGATTCCTTAAATGCTATCACATAACTGGCACAGCAATTATTGCATTTAATTTTGTATTAAAATAATGTTTTATATTTTAGAGACTGCTTTAATTTTCTTCTTTGTTTTTGATTCATTCTGAAGTATTATTTCAAGTTAGTTTTTTTCGTGCTATCTTCATTATATTTTATTTTTCAGATGATAAACATCTTTTATAATTTTACTGCTGATGTTTTGACTGTATGTTCTACAATAATAATGATAGGATGCTGATTTTGTTCATTTGTTTATTTTGGCAGTAGTTAGATGAAATACATCAAGATTCATGATATTTCTCTATTTTGGCAGTAAGTGAGTAAAAAAGGAAATGATTCTTTTCAATGCCTTAAGGTGTAATGGGCATATAGGGCTAGACCTACATATTAAAGACCAATCAGCCCTGGTTGGAGGATGTGGTCAGCATCACCACGGCTACCCTACTTCCCAGAACTGAACTCCTTACCCACTTAAGAAAAGGTCAACCTGAGACACAAGGTAATTTTTGAAAAAAGACCTGCTCCATTTTGGCAGTAGAAGGATGAAATACAGCTGTCAGTGATATGGTACTTTGGTACCAGACTGAGAAGAAAGTCTCTACACTAATGTAATTCCAAAAGATACACACCCTTTTCAGACTGCAAAGGATCTGATTGTCACAGCATCAGGCTTAAAGATTTAAAACCTGGCCATGTGGGTTCCGGGGTTTGACTTTGGTGAAACAAAGAGAAAAGACCCACTGCTCCCCTTTACCCAAATAAGTTAATTGCATATCCTTTACAGGACACTGCAGAACCCCAGCATTTTTTTGGCTGTTGTGGTTTTTACAATCAGTAGTTTGCCCCTGCTTCTGAACGGTCAGCTTTCGGTACCACTGTCGGAACCAAGGCAAGATAAATCGTTCACAGCTAGAATCAAACCCAGCAGCCCGGCATTACAAACAAGCACGTTATCGAAGGTGATAATTAGGAGTTAGGTGAAATCCTTAAGTCGGGCTGAAAAGGTGCAGGCATTGCAGCACAAATATGAGACACAAAAAATAAAAATGCAACCATTTTTTAAGAATGAATGCGGAAGAAGAAGAAGAAAACCCGGTCTTCCAGAGAGGTCACCAAACAACCTAACCAACAGCTGGTACCTTACGACATAGGTAAAAGCTTCTTAAATTATATTTTCGTGCTTAAATTATATATTTAATTTAAGAAGCCCTCTCCATTACTTACTGAATACGACATTTTCAGCATAATTTTTTGTTATAACTGGCAAAATTATAAAATCTGAGAAACAGATAGCACCAGAAGATGATTATACCCACTGTCAACAGCCCTGTACTTTGTTCTTCTCAACGATTAGACGTTGCAGCACAGGAAACTGAATGACCACCCCTGGATACCACATAAGAAGTTGCAGCACAGGAAACTGACTGACCATCCCTGGATACCACATAAGAAGTTGCAGCACAGGAAACTGACTGACCACCACTGGATACCACATAAGACACTGCAGCACAGGAAACTGACTGACCACCACTGGATACCACATAAGACACTGCAGCACAGGAAACTGACTGACCACCACTGGATACCACATAAGACACTGCAGCACAGGAAACTGACTGACCACCACTGGATACCACATAAGACACTGTAGCACAGAAAACTGACTGACCACCACTGGATACCACATAAGACACTGCAGCACAGGAAACTGACTGACCATCACTGGATACTACATAAGACGTTGCAGCACAGGAAACTGACTGACCACCACTGGATACCACATAAGTTGCTGCAGCACAGAAAACTGACTGACCACCACTGGATACCACATAAGACGTTGCAGAGCAGGAAACTGACTGACCACCCCTGGATACCACATAAGAAGTTGCAGCACAGGAAACTGACTGACCACCCCTGGATACCACATAAGAAGTTGCAGCACAGGAAACTGACTGACCACCACTGGATACCACATAAGACACTGCAGCACAGGAAACTGACTGACAACCACTGGATACCACATAAGACGTTGCAGCACAGGAAACTGACTGACCACCACTGGATACCACATAAGACACTGCAGCACAGGAAACTGACTGACCACCACTGGATACCACATAAGACGTTGCAGCACAGGAAACTGACTGACCACCACTGGATACCACATAAGACGTTGCAGCACAGGAAACTGACTGATCACCACTGGATACCACATAAGACACTGCAGCACAGGAAACTGACTGATCGCCACTGGATACCACATAAGACACTGCAGCACAGGAAACTGACTGACCACCACTGGATACCACATAAGACACTGCAGCACAGGAAACTGACTGACCACCACTGGATACCACATAAGAAGTTGCAGCACAGGAAACTGACTGACCACCTCTAGATACCACATAAGACCTTCTCATAAACTCATGTGTGTGGTGTGGGTGTGTATCTATTAACGGTCACTATCAATCAAAAGTCTGCATGTCTTCTAAAGACGCACCAAGCGGCATAGCATCGAGAAAGTATGTCTGCATTTCCCCTTTGCCTTTGACCCTGACCAGTCCTCTGATGCTCAAGGTGTAGCCACTGGAAGACAAGATCTTGTAAATCTCCTGAGTCACCTGTAGAAGGGGAAGTGATAAATGTGAAAGATAATATAGTTGTATGCGACTTTTAAGGTAATAAGAATGCATCATTATAAATCTGAAGTCACATGTAGAAGGATAAGTGATAAATGTGAAAGATTATAAACTTGCATGTGACTTTTAAGGTAATAAGAATGCATCATTATAAATCTGAGACACAGGTAAAGTGATAAACATGAGAGATAATAAATAATGTAAGGTAATAAAATTGTAGCAATAAATCAGTCACCTGTAGAAGGATAAGTGATAAATGTGAAAGATAAAACACTTGTGGGCGACTTTTGAGGTAATAAGGATGCATAATTATAAATCTGAAGTCACATGTAGAAGGATAAGTGATAAATTTGAAAGTTAATATATTTGTGGGCGACTTTTGAAGTAATAAGAATGCATCATTATAAATCTGAGTCACAGGTAAAAAGATAAACATGAAAGATAATAAATCATTTGAGGTAATAAAAATGCAGCAATAAATCAGAGTCACCTGTAAAGAGACAGGTGTAAAAGATAAACAATATTGTCAGTGACTTGTGAGGTAATAGAAATCTAATATAATAAATCTGAGTTATTCATTGAGGGAAGTAATCTGGTAATATTAGTTTCAACTTCATAGCAAAGGGGTCACCCCATAGTTGCTCCGCTCCTGTGACAACAAAATACACTCAGAATATCCATCTGGTAGTCTGGTAGTCTTAGTTTCAGCTTCATAGCAAACGGGTTGCCCCATCTTTGCTCCGCTCCTGTGCCAGCGAAAAACACTCAGAATGTCTATCACAGTCCCTTGTGGAAAGATTGACAGACTGCTGTCTCAGCATATCTAGCATACACTCGCATTAAAGCATATGGTAGCCATCCGAAGTGCTAACACAAACAGTCCAACATTAGAAATGCAGTTCATCATTAATCATAGCAGAACTTGTCGTCAACAGATCAGCAGTTGTCCGCGTGATCAATTTTAATACGGGTCCCGCAAGCATTGAACGACAGGCATCGCGCCATTTTCTGAATCTACAATTCACACCACCACGTTGGTCACAGAATATCCATCACTGTCCCTTGTGGAAAAACTGACACATACTGCAGTCTCAACATATCCACTAGCATACACGCACATTAAAAGCATAAGGCAGCCACCAGAAGTGCTAACACAAACAGTCCGACATTAGAAATTTAGTTCATGATCAATGGAAGCAGTGGTTACAAACAGATAAGTAGTTACACATGTAATCAATTTTAATTACATAAAGCATCATCAATTCTGTGGCAAATCTTTAGTGTGCTCTTTCTCATGTGTTGCATATAGCTGAGCTTCATTAATTTAAGGCTGTTTTTGATGTTATCTTTCCATCTTTTGGTATTCCACGTGCTCTGTATTCATTATATTGCTTTAGCATTGCTCTCAGTGGCAGTTGGTACCAGGGTCACACCATCACATCGGATTCTTTTTAATGACATGTATGGCTGCTTTCAGTCCTAATCTTCTAATTTCTTTATTTTTAATTGTATTTCTTCTCGTTTACTACAGCAGCTCTTCAAAGACATCATATTTCTGTAGTTAGTTGATTAGTTGTATTAAGGGTTCGTAGTTCTTAACCCCAAGACAGATGGGATGGATTATAATAATAAAATTAACGGCTCCTCTTTCACAATTTAACTTGTTTAAAAACTGGCAAGATTCCTGAAAAGAAAACTTACTTGAATTTTGTTGGGCACCCCGGTGGAGTCCATTCTGCTGGCCACGTTCACTGTGTTGCCCCAGATATCGTAGTGAGGCTTCTTCACACCAATCACCCCGGCAACAACAGGTCCTACATTTAAACCTGGCAACAACAACAAAACACATCAATGAAAAGATACTAGAAGTGGGCAACTGACTCTATCTGTACCTAGCAATCTCTGATATATTTGAAATAATCAGCTTCTATGTTTCTTATCATCCTTGAGTACAATAGAGGCAATGAAAAAAGTATATGTGTGCGCGCGCGCACGCACACACACACATACACACACATATATATATATATATATATATATATATATATATATATATATATATATATATATATATACACACACACACACACACATATACAAGGATAATTCAATAAGTAAGTCACAAATGGTTATGTGATGGCAGGAAAATGTAGCTGGAGGTTTATAAAGGTATCATTAGGTGACAGCAACATCGAACTTTATGTCTCGATTCATTAGGTGGCACTAGGTGTTGCATGCGCATTTGCAATATATAAACAAAATGGTGACTGTACTAATGGAGTGTACCCTCAAAGAACGTGTTGTTGTGCGTGTTTTTTTTTAAAGGGGGGGGGGGGCAAAAGGGCTGCCGCAAAGGAAATTCAAAAGGAAATGCTTCCTGTTTATGGTTACAAATGTTTATTCTGTAAAGCAGTGCATTGAAAACCCACCTTAGAGGAACACATTTCAAGAATAACGCAGAAGTTGAATGTGAAGTGAAAATATGGCTTAGAAAACAAAGCATGCAGTTTTAACATATTCAAACATATTTTTAAAATAAGGAGAAGAAGAAAATATATCTGCTCAATATTTTTTTTTAAAAAGAAGAAAATATATCTGCTCAAGAGATCAAGAATAAGTGAGAAATAATTGCAATTTAATAGTCTTTGAAAACATTCACATCTGTATGCACCGAGGGAACCTGGTAATTTTTGAGCTAGCAGGCACACTGAAACCAATCACCCACACCAACATGAACTACAGAATACACACTTGAACAGACACTGCATGACCTGATTTATCAACCATACCTATCCTCATAAGAAAATTATTAAAGGAATTTTCATTGATGTACTGCATCTGTCTCTGGAGGGCAAAAGTGTAGTCTGCCAGGGCAAGGATATGGGTCATGTCTGCAAAGTTTGTCTGACTGGTCAAGCCTGAAGCACACATATAGGTCTGTCCCACTGTTTTAATTTTCTCCACACTGAAGAACCGTCTGTGGGTCAGCAACTGAAAAACAAACAGAAACAAGAGTGTACATTTCAAGAAAATATTTAATGCAAGCAAGGTAGCTATGGGGAATTTAGAAAAATAATGTACTTTTCAAGATAGTCTGTGTAATTAATAAAAAGAAATATATAAATATTTTTTTTACAACTACATGAAAACTGTAAGAATCAAGGCCACTACAGCTAGCTATAGTACATACAAAATGTTCTAAGCAAATTTTAATTGTACAAATAATATGGACAGAATATTCGCGGCAAGTGTGCCTATCCTATATATGTTAACTGTATCATACTACTTTTTGTTAAGAGTCACATATGTACAGAGTCTGAGTAAAATTTCCCTTATCTACTGAATATCTACGACTAACTTCCATGCATCATAATCAGTGCTAAATAACTGTTAAGAACTTTCTTCTTCATTTTAAACAATAGGTAAATAGCATTCACTATTCATCCTGTTGAATGATGTTTGGCTCGTGGTTAAACGACACTTCATTTCTTAACCCTTTGGAGACGACGTGGCTGAAATATCGGGGCAACACAAAGTAGCTAAAAAGGATAACTGGGCCGATCAGTCGGACCTATGTTATACAAGCCTTGAGGTTGGCTGGCAGGTTTCCGTACCAGCCAATGTGATTGCTTCTCGCATTTATTGCATATATTGGCTGTTCACTGACTTCTGTTGAGAAAGTCTGATGTGTTTGGTAATTTTACACAATTTTTTTTCTGGAGTTACCTAAGCCCAACAATGGCAAAAAAGACTGTTGCGTCATAGCAACCGAAACATAGCTGGAGGCAGGAAAATGACCAAATGAACCATGTGCCAGAGGTGCCTCCAAGGGCCTTACTTCCCAAATCACAAGTGTTAGGACTTATTCAAGTTTCATCCATAAAAAAATTCACCCACATTTGTTTAGGTTAGTCACGTTTGTTTCCGAGTTTTTTAAAAAAAATGCCCGCATACGTTATGCAAATCAGAACAGCTAATTTAAAAAAATTTTGAGATTTCAGTTTGACTCATAAATATTCTGTTAGCTCATTCAATTTCCTACACGAATATATATATATAGTTTTGTACATGTTGATTAATCCCTTTATTTTGTATCATTTCTTTTTGTGTATAAACTATGAGAATCCCCTCCTGAAGACTTCGTTTGGCACTGAAACTCCAAAAAGGCTCCATCTCCCGAAGGTTAATCCCATTGCTATGAGAAGGCTAAATCTAGTCACTAGTCACAGTGCTATAAATGCCAATATATTGCTATTTCCGCAGTGACTTGTTCTCAAAAAGTGCAGTTAAATGCCACTGGCTCTATGTGTACTGCTTAATTGTCTAGGAGGCCTGGATGTGAATATATTCACTAAATATAGCGCATTTAGAGGGGTGTCCTTGTCAGTCTAATAGCTTGTTTAAAGCTTGTTCAAAATGTCTACCTACTCTACCGAGCATTATCGAGTTGTTCCACACAGGTATAAAAGGTACAATCAACTCTGATAGTGTAACATCGGAGGAGTTTGTAATCAACAATGGAGAGAAGCAGAGGTGTGTACTTGCTCCTACCCTCTGTGGAATATATTTCTGACTTCTTCTGAAACATGCCTTTCGAGATCAGGAGAGTGGTATATTCATCCACTCTCGATCTGATGGCGACCTTTCAATGCTTGTAGGCTGAAGGCAAAAACCAGGATAAGAAAGGTACCTATCAGAGAGCTGCTGTTTGCAGATGATGCAGCAGTTACCACCCACTCAGAGAAGGAGCTGCAATGTTTACTGTCTGCCTTTGCTGATGCATGCTGTGAATTTGGACTAACAATCAATAAAAAGAAGACAAAGATTATGGTGAAAGGGGCTGATGACAGACCTGTAGTCTAACTGTGAAGATTTTACCTATATTAGATCCACAGTGAATAACAAACTATTGCTGGACCAAGAAATCTACATCAGGATAGGTAAGACAACAACAACAATGAGCAGATTAACAGTTTGGGAGAACAGAAAGCTCGCAATTAAAACAAAACCCCTTGTCTTCTGGCTTGTGTTCTCAGAACTCTTGCTTTATGGCAGTGAAACTTGGTAAACTTATTCACACCAGGAGAAGCAGCTAAACATCTTTCACGTGCAATGCCAAAGAAGAATACTTGACATTAAGTGGCAGGACAAGATCACAAACACTGAGGTATTGGAAAGCAGGTGCTCAGTCTATGAAGGCTCATGAGGCTGGGTCACACCTGAAGAATGGAGATGGAACAGTCCCTAAGGAGATCATCCATTGTGAATTAAAGACGGTTAGAAGATGTCAAGGGTGACCTCTACTACGGTATAAAGATGTGTGCAAGAGGGACATAAACTATATACAGGTACTGAGGTGGACTCGAGGGAACAAAATGTCATGGACCGTGTTGTGTGGATGTTGCACATCAGGAAGGGATTCAGAATAAAGAAAGAAGTGATTGCAGAAAGGATGAGAGCTGAGTGTCTGAGAAGAAACAGAGTAAACACACATGTTGACAACAGGGGTCCTGAAATACCATGCTGTAATTGTGGAAGACCTTTCTTAAAGTAGTCGGGTCTTGCTAGTCACACTCACCATCACCATGGGCTGTGAGTCCCATGCCTTGTCAGAGTGCAATATAACATTATCACCTGGAAAGATAGAAAGGTGCCAATCCAGAGACTGAAAGTATATAGTTCTGTTGCCCAGCTACTGAAGTGAGTGCACGGCATGACAATATAAGGTGTGGATTTCATTTGGAATGCTTTTTGACTGTGCCCCATGTAGTTTGTTTTGTGAAATGCATATTCAGATTATCAGCCTGTTGCCACATAATTGGTGGTGCCTTGTGTGATTAATTATATGTGTAACTGCTGACCTGTAGCATCTGCTGCTTTGATCAATGATGAACTGCACTTCTGGTGACTGCCTTATACGTTTAATGTGTGTATGTTATTGGCTGTGCCGAGACAGTAGTCTATTTCAATTATTTTCACAAAGAACAGCAATGATCAGTCTGTGGTTTTTGCTGGTACAGAAACAGAGCAACTATGAGCTGCCCCCTGGTACAGAAACAGAGCAACTATAAGCTGCCTCCTGGTACAGAAACAAAGCAACTATGAGCTGCCCCCTGGTACAGAAACAGAGCAACTATAGCTGCCTCCTGGTACAAAAACAAAGCAACTATGAGCTGCCCCCTGGTACAGAAACAGAGCAACTACAAGTTGCCCCCTTTTACAAAAACAAAGCAACTATGAGCTGCCCCCTGGTACAGAAACAGAGCAACTACAAGCTGCCCCCTGGTACAAAAACAAAGCAACTATGAGCTGCTCCCTGGTACAGAAACAAAGCAACTATGAGCTGCCCCCTGGTAGAGCAACAAAGAAACTATGAGCTGCCCCCTGGTACAGAAACAGAGCAACTATGAGCTGCCCGCTGGTACAAAAACAAAGCAACTATGAGCTGCCCCCTGGTACAGAAACAGAGCAACTACAAGCTGCCCCCTGGTACAAAAACAAAGCAACTATGAGCTGCCCCCTGGTACAGAAACAGAGCAACTACAAGCTGCCCCCTGGTACAAAAACAAAGCAACTATGAGCTGCTCCCTGGTACAGAAACAAAGCAACTATGAGCTGCCCCCTGGTAGAGCAACAAAGAAACTATGAGCTGCCCCCTGGTACAGAAACAGAGCAACTATGAGCTGCCCGCTGGTACAAAAACAAAGCAACTATGAGCTGCCCCCTGGTACAGAAACAAAGCAACTATGAGCTGCCCCCTGGTAGAGAAACAGAGCAACTATGAGCTGCCCCCTGGTACAAAAACAAAGCAACTATGAGCTGCCCCCTGGTACAAAAACAGAGCAACTATGAGCTGCCCCCTGGTAGAGAAACAGAGCAACTATGAGCTGCCCCCTGTACAGAAACAGAGCAACTATGAGCTGCCCCCTGGTACAAAAACAAAGCAACTATGAGCTGCCCCCTGGTACAGAAACAAAGCAACTATGAGCTGCCCCCTGGTAGAGAAACAAAGAAACTATGAGCTGCCCCCTGGTACAGAAACAGAGCAACTACAAGCTGCCCCATCTACCATGAAAAGGGAACTGTAATTAATTGAATTAACTGCATAACACAGATGTCTAAGAATACTTACTGTATCGAAATCAGCAATGATCTCATTCAGCAGTCTCAGGCACTCTACCCCTTCGTTGTTGGCCTCAAGTTCAATGTAAAACTCTGAGAAGTTAACTATAGATGCAAACATCACACCCACATTGTTAATGTCTTCATAGTAGAGATTCTGTAACAAAGCAGCAAACAGACACAGATACATCAGCTAGTGTTTTGAACTAAACACAGAAAACTTAATCAAATATCAATATGATAAAATGTGTTTTGCTGAAAAATAACCGAAAAGCTGAAGGTTAACTTGACAGCTTTAATGCTGTTTTCAAAAATTTATGTATAAAAAAACAACAACAAACACAACTTATGAACATAAAACTTACCGTGTCACTCTTCATGCTAAGAAAATATTTAGCCACATGCAGTGGTAAAATGTTAGATAAAAGTTTAAGGTTGTACTCTCGTAGACTTTCCATTTCTTCTTTTTCTTCTTGAGCCTGTGGATAAAACATAAAACTCAATTTATCACCTGAATACATTATTTGAGTTTGAAACAGTGTGAAGAAAAATAAAAGAAACAGCTGCTGCGGTATACTAGTTAGTGCACTTACTTGCGGAGAACGTAGCTTTGGTTCAATCTTTAGCAGAAGCCAGATTATTTTTTCCCACCAACAATTCAAAAAAAGGTTACCAGACAATTTTTCAAACTACCTAGCAACAACAACAACAAAAAGATGAGGGAAATGAACTGGTCACCTCATCTTTACATTATGACCTAGAATATACTTGTATGAAAGCCTAACACTTCACACCCCAACAGTAATAAGAGCTATGGGATTGATTGCCTTCACCTTACACTAAGTCTTTCAACCCTTTCACTCTGAAAACCTTAGAAAAACAAACTCAGTAACCGGTAAACTCAGTAACTAAAATCAAAATTGATGAACACCAGTTAAAGCAGGCGAAGGATTTTACATATCTGAGAAGCATTTTTTCAGAAGACGGAAGAATTATTTGAAATCTAACAAAGATGCAATAAAGCCAATCAAGTTTTAGGCCAAATGGCAGCAATTTTGAATTGCAAGCATGTGAATATGAACACTAAAAGAATACTGTTCAACAAAATATTCTTACTAACACTATGGTATCAATGTCACACACAGACACTGTTTGCAGGAGTAACAAGGAAACATTGACTTAGGACTGATGATATCAGGATAAGAGTCAGCAACCAATACTGAAATGTATAGGTAGACAACAAATCAAATGGTTTGACCAAATAACCTGTTTGGCATTAAACAGGGCACCACAGAGAGCAATGTTATACTGACACAGCGGTAACAGATCCAGAGGTTGACCATGCAGAAGATGGGCCACAGAAATATCAGAGACACTAAAAAGTACTATACACGAAGCAAACGGAAGGGTCTGTTCCAGAGATCTCTTCCTGCCATGACGGCGTGAGGCATTCTAGGAGTAGAGAAAAGAAGAAAGAAGAAGTAACCCATATTTCTGAAACTCATTTTTTAAAAATGCGTAAAAATAAGAAACAACCGTTTTACAACCATACTCAAAATAATGTCCAAAAATGTCACTTACGTCAATTTAAACAAAAATCTTTCTATAACTAAGAAGGGGAGTAATCAATGAACATGAAGGCAGTGGAGAGTTAACTAGTTTACCTCTCTTTGACCATACAAAAATTCTAAGGTGACTGGAGTTTGACCTTGTAATTGGTCATGGGGTAACCACTTTTTCTTTCTTTAGTTGCGTATCCTTTACAAGACGTTGCAGAACCAACCCTAACAGCCCCTGGCTGTTGTGTGGTTTCTCTAGGAAAACTTACGTCCAGTAGTTTGCCATTGCTTCTGGACGGTCGGCTCCCTGATACCACTGTCGAAACCAACGCAAGGCGCATGGCCAGCAGCTGGGATCGAACCCGGTACTCCGGCATTACAAAGCGTTCGCATCGACTTAGCCACAGAGCCGACGGGTAACCACTAAGTATTTGAAAATTAATTATATTTATCTTTTCAAATTTAAAGAGCAATTCCAAACCCCCCCCCCCTCCCATAATGGTATTTTAAGTACACATAATAATTCTCATTCCTCCTAAACTTGTGAGCAGGCGCACAGGATACCAGTGCTATCAGCTAGGCTTCTCATGAACAAGCCACTTTAGCATTATATATCCTATATATAATGTAGGATACTGGACCTAACCAAAAGTGTAGGATTTCCAGCTTCTCTGTGAGACAGGGTTAAAAGAATGTAAGCACTATAAACACTTTTAGTTCATTATTTCAATTCAGTAAAATGTAATCCTATTAAACACACAGACTTTACACAATATTTTTATATCATCCAAATTCGTCCTTTTTAGGACGAATTATTTTTTTTCATTTGAAGCCCTACTCTGGCTTTTTGCCAGGGGCCGCAATATAGGCAGGCCATACATAGGGCCAAATTTCTGAACGCGGTTTCTGGGACCTCTCCACGGCGATCCTCATCCACATGGTGGCACTTTGTGTCATCGGGTGTTTATTGCTTGTGTGATGTCCTGGTGGGGTAGAGAGTCCGTTCCGTCCGTCCGTAGACAATACTTTCATTTTACTTCAGAGCAGAACACTTTTTCTCATAAGCAGCCATTAGGCTCACATATAATATAGTAATACACTTTCAGACAGCTGATAAAGATAAATTCACCCAAGTCAGTAATTAATTACATTGTGGATAGACATAAGTGCTTGGTGACTTTAACAAATATTTCACTTCCCTCCTATGCTTAACTTTATTAATCTGAAAATAGTACAAGTGAATATTAGCAACTCTGAAATCACAACACACTGTTGCATAAATCCATTCTGGCATACGCATTCCTCACTGTGCAAACGCATGCATTACTGCCAGATGTTAACATGCAAGTTGAGTCATGATGATTAAATCACACAAGAGAATGTCACTCTCAAAAGTCCCAGTACAGAGTTTTCATAAACTGATAAAGATATATTTGAATATTGCTTCTGTTAGCTGCAAGCTGATGACCTGGTTGTTTAAATTCATAAAAACACAGAAAAAAACTCAAATTCACTGCAAGCATTTAAGAAATGTTAGGTGAACAAAAGACTACATTCATGCCATTTGGACATCAGTCAGGCATGTGGTAAACTAAGTTAAGGAGAAAACTTCCACCCCCTCCCCCTTTTTTTTTTAAACAGACTAGTCAGCATTTGATAGTTGATGAGTACACCATTTTGCCTGCCACATTTATTTTCCACGACACTACGACACTACCGGATACCAATTTTTAGGCTGAAACCAAGATAATTTTTTTTTTTTAAAATCTGACTTGATGTGGCTTAAATCCATCAGCTTTGGGTCAGCAGACAAGCATCTAGTCAAGGGATAAACTACAGCTCCCTAAGCATATGGTTAATTAGTTGTGTTTTCTTTATGGAGTATGTTGCACAAATGACCACACATGTGAATAAACAGTAAACAAGGAGGAAGAAACAATGTTCTGGCCAAAAATGGTGTAGATAACTTTAAACAATTACTATTTCACACTCATAAAAATGCCAGTCATAGACACAAAAACACATGCTTCAAAACATCCTTCTAATAGTAGTAATACTGACTTTGTCTTAATAGGAATGCATCACAAGTTGAATTGTAGCTAATGTAATTGTTCTCTGGCACTAGAGGCATTGATGCACGACAATTAAACATTTCATGCATGTTTCTCATTTACTATTTGCAGAGATGTAAAAAAAAAAAAAAAAATTCAAGTAAAAATAATACGTAGCAGATGACTAGAACATTGCAATTATATGAGGTGTAGCTAGGCTATCGTTAGAAACACACTGCATACAAAAGAAGCATGTAAATGTATCTAAGATTAAATCTGGTGAATGAACTCAGGTAAGTTTTTACACAAAATAAGCATTCAAGAGCAGACAACCGCTACAAAACTTTCAAACACTTCTTAAAGTTCTTGCATAATACAAATAAGTGTACAATGACTTCATTTTACCTGTTAATATTTGTATTATTTAGAAGCAAATACAAAATAATGTGTATTTTAGCCTGCCTGACTGTTTTTCTCTTTAGGCTGCTTGTATATAGTCAAACAATTTATAAATGGCCAGATAAGTTTGAAAATTCATGATATATCAAAAATAAACATGCACACAGCAGGCATGAGTCTTACATCAGATGAATTACATACTTCAAACAGATTACATATATGCGTTTTATTGATAGATTTTGGTGGTCTAACATATGATATGGCTAGCTGAACGACTGAGAAATTCATAGGAAAAAACTTCTAGCAAGAGTCTACAAGAAAACAACTTTTGTATAAGCATTACTGAAAATAAAAGCAAATACTAGATTATTCTGAATACAAATATAATTTTTTTATAACTTAAATAAAACAAAGCAAAACCTGTCTCCATGTCTTTTTCCTCTACCTCTTCTTCCAGCGTTTAATTTAGTGCAGACATCAGCATTTAAAAAAACTCTTTAATTTACATGGGAAATAAAGCCAACCCCTACCTCCAAGCAGGTACACCCAGCCTTGAGTGGGTACCAGGTGCAGTCCTGGGAAGTAAAGGTGGTTGGAGTAATGCTGGCGTGATGAAGGATTCATCGGAACATCTTCAATGTCAAGTGTCCATATTCACGGAAGTTTGCCTATGCCTTGCTTTCCAGACACTGCACTTTCCATTACTGTTCTCTCCGGTTGCTATGATGTTTAACATAGTCAAAATGCCTCAGCCTTCAGGACAGGATGTTGTTTATGAGGCAATCCTCCCCGAGGTTCAGATCATGTAGGATGTCAGTGTTTTTCTTCTTCTTGGTCCACAGTATTCTACAAATTTTTCTGTAGCATTTCAGTTCAAAAGCTCTGATTTTCTTCTTCAAAGACTGAGTAAGAGCCTGTTACACATCCATAAATTGCTATTGGAAATATGCATTTTCTCAAAATGTGTACTTTAACTTGCAGTTATGATTTTAAAGGTGTTTTGACATGGAAGAATAGATATTATTGCTTCAGGTTTGTATTCAATTCCTCTGTGACATGGAAGAATAGACATTATTGCTTCAGGTTTGTATTCAATTCCTCTGTGACATGGAAGAATAGACATTATTGCTTCAGGTTTGTATTCAATT